CATCGCGTGTCGCATCGCAAAAAAGCTTCTGTGAATCCCGCTTTAAGCGGGATTCACAGAAGCTTTTTTGCGATGCGACACGCGATGCGACAGACGCGAAACCGGGAAAACCCCAAATCGCAGCCATGTCGCACCCCAAGCAACTGCCGCAACTGGGCCATCGCAGGCCATCGCAGAAGTTGAGCTTGGCTCAACTTTTGCGATGCGATGCGATGCGACAAGCGATTTGGTGTACGATTTTGACCTTTTCTACAGCAAAGTTGTACAAAGGTGCAAGAGTTGCCTATAAATTTTTTCAAGTTGTGTCAAACCGCGCGAATATCATGGTGGCGTACCCAAATCAGCAAAACTTTGTCGCATCGTTGACTTCTTCTGTGAATGGTATTTCGCGAGTTCGCATCGCACGCGTCCGTCGCAGATCGCGTCGCATCGCGTGTCGCATCGCAAAAAAGCTTCTGTGAATCCCTTAGGCCGCGGTCACACCAAGCGCGATTCAGCCATTCAGCGGAAAAAAGCGCTTTTTGACGTCATCGTCGCTACGGAAACGGCTGAATTTTCGGCTTCAGCCTTTTTCAGCAGTCAGCCGTTTTCAAAGCGCTGAATGGGAGCGCTGAATGGATTCAGCCACTTTCAGCCATTCTGGCGCAGTACAGTGGCGGGAAAAATAAACTCGTTCAAAGCGCATCTTGGCATGATCTTGCAGCTTGCATCGTGTTCTGCCACCTTCCGGCTCTCGTTGTTGGTGAAACTTCTCTCCTTGCCTTTTTGTCGGTCATCAGTGAATCCTGGACAGTAGCACTGGAGCGGCGACTACTGGAGCGGCGACTACTGGAGCTTTGGTTTGAAACAAAAACCAAGTATAAGACCACTATGAAAAAAATACCAGAAAGAGAGCGTGGATCTTGGACGAACTGAAGAAGTGTGCTGGAGAAGGCGGACGGGAAAACAAGAGAAAATCTTATTCAAAAATGAGCGGGAAGAAAAAAAACTCTAGCACACAAAAAAGTCCAGCCGATTTCGCGAAGTGGTGTGACCAACCACCCCATTCATCACAAGCCACTTTCAGCGCAAGCGGGAAACGGCTTGTTAGGTGTGACCGCGGCCTTAGGCCGCGGTCACACCTAACAAGCCGTTTCCCGCTTGCGCTGAAAGTGGCTTGTGATGAATGGGGTGGTTGGTCACACCACTTCGCGAAATCGGCTGGACTTTTTTGTGTGCTAGAGTTTTTTTTCTTCCCGCTCATTTTTGAATAAGATTTTCAAGGCCCCGGTCACACCGAAACAAGCCACTTTGGGCTTGTTATCGCTGGCGCTCAGCTGGCTTGCGTGATCCCTGTGACGCGGTCACACCAGACCTTGAGTGCAAAGCTTGAATGGCTTGTTTTTCTTACCCGCCAAATTTTGAATATCTCGAAACACACCAATGTTTGCAAGAAACTGGAGAGCAGAACGTTCGCGATCTAAAACTGTACTTGTTCTAGTGTTCAGTTTTGATGAAGAAGCAAAGGAAGCCCGGATTCTGAATTGCGAAGTCGTGCTCTTTTTATTTGTTCGGTGTGCATGGACGCGATGGTTCGGGTGGTGTTTCCTGATGTCGAGCTTTCTGCCCCGCCGGTTGCCGTTATTGAACTCAGTTGCAATCCACTGTCTTCTTCGTACCCGGCTTTCTTCATGAATTCGGTCGTGAGTGTGGTGCCTTGTCTTGGCCTCAAACCACAGCTCCAACAATCTACGCAGCAGTCTAGAGGCACAGCGGCAGAAATCCATGGTCGTCGGACAAAATCCAAATCAAACTGAATACAGTGTAGTTGGGGTAGACAGACTCACGGTCAAAACTGACCAAAGGCACAGGGATAGCACGGTTCCACGGACACAAGAAAGAACATCAATATCACTTCATCATGTCAACTAGCTACATGGTGTGCTTCGGAGCTCCAAGCGCACTCAAATTATTTTTTGAATTTCGGCTTTCAGCCGCTTGTACAAGCTGTGGCTGAAACAAGCCGGAAAAAAACGGCTGAGAGTCAGCCACGGCTGAAAGTCGCTTGTAAGTTGTAGGACATTTTTCAGCCATTTCCATGGTAATAGTGACGTAAACAAGCGCTTGTTTCGGCTGAACGGCTGAATCGAGCTCGGTGTGACCGCGGCCTAAAGGCCGATTCACAATACAACTTTCTGCGACGCGACATGCGACTTGCGACACATGCGACGAGCTGCGACAGCGACACACGGTTCACAATATTCTTCATGTTTGCGACATCATCATGCGCAAGTAGTACTATGCACGTGCACTGCACGTGCACCCAGGGTCGAAACTGTACTCCATTTGTGTATGTCGCGTGTCGCATGTCGCAAAAGTTGAACTTTCTTCAACTTCTGCGACAGGTGCATTGCGACAGCTTGCGACAGCTTGCGACAGGCAGTTTCTTGTCGCAACTGTCGCAAATCGCGTGTCGCGTCGCAGAAAGTTGTATTGTGAATCGGCCTTTAGCGGGATTCACAGAAGCTTTTTTGCGATGCGACACGCGATGCGACAGACGCGAAACCGGGAAAACCCCAAATCGCAGCCATGTCGCACCCCACGCAACTGCCGCAACTGGGCCATCGCAGAAGTTGAGCTTGGCTCAACTTTTGCGATGCGATGCGATGCGACAAGCGATTTGGTGTACGATTTTGACCTTTTCTACAGCAAAGTTGTACAAAGGTGCAAGAGTTGCCTATAAATTTTTTCAAGTTGTGTCAAACCGCGCGAATATCATGGTGACGTACCCAAATCAGCAAAACTTTGTCGCATCGTTGACTTCTTCTGTGAATGGTACGAGCTCGTATTTCGCGAGTTCGCATCGCACGCGTCCGTCGCAGATCGCGTCGCATCGCGTGTCGCATCGCAAAAAAGCTTCTGTGAGTCCCGCTTTACTTTCTTTCCTTGCGTTTCTTATTATTCCTTTATTAAAACCAACATTTCACCGTCTCACTTTGCGCACTTTCTCTCGCACGCTGAATTATGTCAACTAGTACATACACAAAATTTATACTCAATCTGCGGACAGCATGCTGTTTCGTTCTTTTTGAACTCATCAGCGCAGCACAGAGAAAATGAGGCCGAACCTGATAGCAATGGAAATAAAAATTTCCAATCAGGCCCGAACGTACCTTGCCAGAGTGCTCAAACTGACAAGTCAGTGAGCTCTGCATAACGCAAACAGCAAAGGCACTACCCCACGCAAGAGTGCTCAACTGCTACAAGAGCAGGAGCGAAATACTCAATCTGCGGACAGCATGCTGTTTCGTTCTTTTTGAACTCATCAGCGCAGCACAGAGAAAATGAGGCCGAACCTGATAGCAATGGAAATAAAAATTTCCAATCAGGCCCGAACGTACCTTGCCAGAGTGCTCAAACTGACAAGTCAGTGAGCTCTGCATAACGCAAACAGCAAAGGCACTACCCCACGCAAGAGTGCTCAACTGCTACAAGAGCAGGAGCGAAATACTCAATCTGCGGACAGCATGCTGTTTCGTTCTTTTTGAACTCATCAGCGCAGCACAGAGAAAATGAGGCCGAACCTGATAGCAATGGAAATAAAAATTTCCAATCAGGCCCGAACGTACCTTGCCAGAGTGCTCAAACTGACAAGTCAGTGAGCTCTGCATAACGCAAACAGCAAAGGCACTACCCCACGCAAGAGTGCTCAACTGCTACAAGAGCAGGAGCGAAATACTCAATCTGCGGACAGCATGCTGTTTCGTTCTTTTTGAACTCATCAGCGCAGCACAGAGAAAATGAGGCCGAACCTGATAGCAATGGAAATAAAAATTTCCAATCAGGCCCGAACGTACCTTGCCAGAGTGCTCAAACTGACAAGTCAGTGAGCTCTGCATAACGCAAACAGCAAAGGCACTACCCCACGCAAGAGTGCTCAACTGCTACAAGAGCAGGAGCGAAATACTCAATCTGCGGACAGCATGCTGTTTCGTTCTTTTTGAACTCATCAGCGCAGCACAGAGAAAATGAGGCCGAACCTGATAGCAATGGAAATAAAAATTTCCAATCAGGCCCGAACGTACCTTGCCAGAGTGCTCAAACTGACAAGTCAGTGAGCTCTGCATAACGCAAACAGCAAAGGCACTACCCCACGCAAGAGTGCTCAACTGCTACAAGAGCAGGAGCGAAATACTCAATCTGCGGACAGCATGCTGTTTCGTTCTTTTTGAACTCATCAGCGAACTCATCAGCACACAAAATTTATATAATAGGAGATCCCCCAGATAGGCGTTAGCCTTTGGGTAATCCTGAAATAAAGATTATTATAGATGGTTAGAACATTGCTCATGACAAGCAAGGTCCCGGGTTTGAATCCTGGTGGGCCTGGCATTTTTTTCTCTTTTCAGGCAGTTCACTTCCCCGACTGATCCTTTGAATTTGAAGTTCTCCCAATCCTGTTCAAAATATTTGGAAGTTTCCCCGGCATTATAGGGTTCGAATTATCAGGCCGCTTCATCTGAACTTGTAATGCAGCAGACGTACACTGTAGATAACGCAGCTCCAGTTTCGGGGATTGCCCATTGTCGGAGGGGAGTTTCGTAGATTCTACTCCTGTCAAAACTTTGCGTGTAGAGAGCTCCGCGTGCACAGTTCAACGAACAGGCGGAGCACTCTACAATATGGTCGGAGGAGTTACTTTTGCCCCGCCCCCACTTCCATCCAATATGCCACCGCCCCCGCTGTGCAGCATCTGATGGTACTGTGGTATTCAGTAAAAAAAAATGCTTATGTAATCACGAGATTACTACGCGCGGTCTTACTGTCAGTTTGGTGATCCACATGACTCATGAGCCCTCCGTGCCATAGCTGCACATCAGCACAAACTCTAACGGTAGCCACACCATCATGATTGTGGTGATGCCTTGCTTTCACGTGCCAACCAGTCAGTGTTGAAAGCTTTCACGACTCGCTGTGTCAACAACCACACTGAGTGATGAACTAATACTTACCTCAGACGAATGCAACAGAGCCGGTGTCAGGTACGGTGGGTGGTCAGTGTCTGTGGCAGTGACTTTTCTGAGAAGGTACACCGAGAAAATTATGCTTCATTGTGTGCGGATCGAGCTTGGAGATATATGCAAACCGAGCCTTCTTGCTTGAAGGCACTCACTGGACGAAGATGAAGTTAGCGATTGTTATTGTCCTTTGCGGACTGGCCGCTCAGACTCTGGCGCAGGCTGACACGTAAGTACCCACCCTTGCCTTGACCATGAACACCGGTAATTATTTTGGTGGCGGAGCTTCGTGTAGATCTAATTTGGCGGGTGAGAAACCCTGCTAGATCTACCCTTGACTCATCATGCTGCATACAGACGGGTGTTGTGATGTTTTGTCCCTACGCCAGCTAGTCTGTCTAAGTACCGTGTCGTTATGACTTCCAGAGCGTTGCCTAATTATGGTTTAGCCATTTCAAATGGTATCCGAGACGTCGCTTCGACATAGCCCTTCGCCAGTAATGCCGGCAGAAGTACCAGGAGAAATTAGAAGAAGGCGATGAAGCCCATTTTGCCCCATTGGCAAGTTTGTCGCCCTTAGGTGGGCCTTGGTTGATTGTGCCCAAATATTGTCAGGTTCCGCTCGAAAAGCGCTGAAGTCGGGATCGGAAGAACCGTACAAAGATTATGGTGGGGACTTCCGTGGATTCTGCTCATCTTCCTCATCTGCCGATTTCAATGGGTTTCGAGCAGTACCTGCCACGGCAGACCTCGGGAAGACTATACTAGTATCTGGGGGGTGCCCTAGAATGGGCTTCGTCTCCCTTTTCTCGGTCTTGCATTTTCATGCTAACGTTCAATGAACAAAATGAAGAGCGCACTGTACAATGAATGTACTCGAGCTATAGGGCTTGAAAGTGCTACGTCACAGCATAGCAACAATTTCAAAAACTGGATCCACTTGGTTCCAGTTTTTGTATGGATCCAAGCACATTTCAAGCGGTCTTACTCACAGCATGGTGATGTAGCCAGTGAAACTGACTGATTTGGCTACTGGGGGCGGGGTTACAACTGGTGGCGAAATAAAAGTCACACCTGCATGCGACATGAGTGGGTTGCTATGCACCCACATACATAGGCAATAGCAAAGTCACACCTTAGTGGATCCAAAAATAGAAATCTGATGTCAACTTACTACTCCCTGGCCGTTTTGACGTCATCACTTTCAAGCCCTATTATAGGGAAGGCAACTTGCGAAGATAATGTTTGGGACGGGGAACCATAATTATTGTCTCGACTCGCCTTGCTTCTCTATCTTCAACAGTTGTTGGTGTCACTTACCATGCTTACTGACTATCAGCTACCTGTACTGTAGGCATATCCCTGACGAGAACTGATCATGACGAACATGACGATTGTATAGTTACCACAGCAGTCCCATACACTGTACTTATTGTGTTTTGACAGTCTTGTTTTCATTTTGTGGCTATCGTAGAGAGCCCCGTGTGTCCACCAATGGAGGTTCATTGACATTCAGCGCCGGCAGGAATGGTGATATCGCTTTCAAAACAGGCTCTGGCGGATCTCTGTACCTGAATGGTGGACAGATACAATCAGCTGCTGACTTGAAGGGTGCCAAGGTGGGTTTTGCTATTACGTGTCTCAGCTTGCAGTATAGTATCAGTAGGGTTATTGTGTGGACCGAATGCCAACCGTATAAACGAGTGAATTACGCATCAGACTTAGAGCATACTCTTTAGATAGAGCCTTAGAAGCGTGATTGGGAAGCTACCTA